ATGTATGTACGTCTATGCGTGAAATGAAATGAAATGAAGTCAACAAATAGTTTTGTTAATTCATTCACAAATAATAAATAGTTGAAGTTCTTTCCTCAATATCAACATATGTATATAAGTATGTCTGCACCAAAAATTTGAAACTTCCGTTCTACATACACACCATGAATGACAATGTCCCAAAGTAATGCCAAAGTCTGGCTTTTTTGTATATAACATATATACTCGTATGTACATATGTACACTGGAAGCTAATTCGAAGCTTAATTTGAGACGCGTGTACGCATTCATGGATTATAAATATGTTTGTACAACACAAAAATAAATTTACAAATATATTCATAAATTAATATACTTGTATTGTATATAAATATACTCGTATACACGTATTATGTATGAACCAATTCATTCATTTTTTATTATATTAAACATACAGTGTGCGACATCTATATGCGGTCGATGGAAGCATTGAATAGCTTTGACATATTTCAACCGATTGCGTGGAGTAAAAGCTTTTCGGAAAGCTTATTCCAATACAATTTAAGCCATGTATCGCTTTATGCCCAAAGATCTTCCGAAAATAGTTAGAATGTAGATTGAGTGCAACACGGCGTGCGTATCGGGATAAGTATCGCGGCCCCTAACAGCCCTATTCTGTGTAGGTAACAAAATTTACTTTGGTATTAAAATTTACCGTTCAGTAAGATTTGTTACTATTTCGTATTCTGAATTCACTGGCACCGTGTAAATTTTGTTATTAGCGAAAAAGGAGGTAACAAAAATCGACTGTTTGATTTTGTTTTTAGTTAAAAAAAAAACAAAAAAAAAAATTAAAATGGGTAGGCATATTTTACGCCTGGATTTCATGGAAGATGAAGATAAAAAGTGTAAGAAGGCGTATGCTCAGAAGTTACGAGAAACGAATGACCCTTTTAATTTGAAAGATAGCGTTTTCGTTCAGCTTTTTCTTGTCGTTTAGGCACATTTTCCAAAATAAGATTCAAATATTTATGATTTAATAAACAAATAAATAAAACTTACTTATTTTGAAATGCACCGTCTTCCAGTTCGATATGAATATTCTTCTTTTTCACTATACCAACTGGTAATTTGACAAGAAGGAAGAAAGCAGAGTTGCTAAAATTGTTTCCCGGAAAACCAAATTCAATTTGGAGTGTAAAAAAAGTAACAAAATTTATTTTACCGTTAACAGTGAGGCCTGTAAAAGTTACACAATTCGTCGCTTGGCTTCGAATTTCGAGACTCAGGCGAGACTCACACAGCGAAGTCAACGATGAAATTCTCGCGGCAAAAGTTTCCCGAACGTGTGCTGTCGCAAGGAGGGGATATCGACTGGCCACCAAAATCGCCCGATTTGACTGCACCAGACTTTTTCTTGTGGGCCTTTTTAAAAAGCAAAGAGTATACCAACAAACCGAAGATTTTGGACGAGCTGAAAAACAACAACCGAGCTGTAATCGCTGCGATATCGCCCGAGCTGCTGGCAAATGTCATGGAAAATTCCGAAAAAAGTGCAAAGTTTTGTTTGCGCAATGAAGGCGGTCATTTGATCGACGTTGTTTTGCGAACCTAGCTGGAAAAAATTGTAAGGCTTTAAATTTGATAATAAAAAGTTTATAAAAATTCATTGAAAATTGTTGAAGTTATTCAACATTTCCATTGACCACATATATTGTACATAGATGGCGCACCCTGTACATATTCATACTCATTAATTCCTGAACACGCGTGCATCAGTAGTCTATTTAAATTTTGTTGTTGATTTTTTTTTTTTTGAATCTTTCACAATTGTGAGATTTTAACTGGGTCGAAGTAGTCACGAAATTAGCAACGATTTGGTTATATCACTTTGTTGGACTCTTTCGAGATTCCGGCAGCAGAAAATTCGCGAACTTACAAAATTACTGTTATTACTATAGAGAAAATATATATTTGATTTTCCATAATTACATTGTATAGTAAATATCAAAATCACATAAATCTCACACAGCAAATGCAAAAAAAAAGTTTTCAAATCACTGAAATCACTTTTTCCAACCGCGGCTACCTACGAGGGATGATCTACAAAGAGTGTGGAAATTTGGTGTAAGAAATTTAAAAATATGAAAAGATCTAGATCTATGATATGAGGACAAGGAAAACTAGGGAAAAATTTGCTACCGATTCTGATTTTACTGTAACTTTACAGCTGCACAGCGGGAAAAATTAAAAAATTAATTATTATTAAAAAAAAAATTGCAAATACAATCAAAATATTTTTAACGATGACCTCAGTATCAGTTGGTTTAATGAACATAAGAGGTGTGTTAGAAAAATAAGTTGAATTTGAATTTTTTTTTAAATATTTTTTAATAACTTTTCCCTTACCTGCCTCGGATATGAATCACTTCTTATTCGACGTAGGCATGGTTAACGAGCTTTAAGCCGAATAAATAATAACACGCCAGTGGTTTTCCTTTTCAGCTTTTCGACACCGATGGGAGACATCAAGTGGTCAAGTTCTGCTCCTCCTGATCCTTTTAACTGAGTGGGGGTTTCCTTTTGTGCTGCTAGCATCGAACACTTACAGAGCTATAGCGTTTTCGTCTATTCGGACGACCTGATCTAACCACAAACGCCACAGTGGACACAGTGTACGCAATCACTCAATTTGCTGAACTACAAGCATACGTATGTATGTCAAAGTCGTCATACAACTCATACAGCTCATCGACATTGCCTATGCGCGCACGGTCAGAAATGTTCCCCAAAGACCTGCTGGAGATGCATATATGAACAGTATTGATGAGGGGCTTGTAGAGTTTGGTCTTTGTTCGTCGAGTCCATAGTGTGAAAATTCCAGGCTGGCATTCTTGTGGGTGCTAATGCTGGTTCCAAAATAGACGAAATTATTTACAACTTCAAAGTTATGACTGTCAATAGTGCTGTGGAAGCCAGGTCGATGATTGTTTGCTGGATGCCGGGGGATACATTTTCATTCTGTCGCTTCGTTCCTCATCCAGTATAGAGAAATGAGAGCTCCCGGCTCGTTTGTTAAGGCCAGTGTTGTCAATATCAATATCAACATGGCGGCCGTTTAAGGGTGGCTCAGAATATACATCAAGGCGCATACTACAAATAAGGGGAGGAGCACGGCCGAAAATCGCTTCAGCGGTTATAAAGCCACAAATATATATATACATATCTATAAATTTCGCGAGGATACCAAATGCAGACATATCGACGCCGAGGCAGCTGCTTTTCGTGCTATCGAAGATGGCTTTCAAATCGACGAACAGGTTATGTGTGCTGATCTTCTTTCCAATATTTGGCATATAGTGTTTAATGGGCAACAATGGTGAATTTACCAAATCTAAAGCCACACTGATAAGCTCCAATCAGTTTGTTGACGGTGGGCTTCATTTCTTTACACAAAAAGCTCGATATTACCTTATATCCAATATTGAAAAGACTTATTCCACAGTAAGTTACGCGTACTGCAAGGTCCCCCAGACAGCACATACTTAAGTTCCAATCATCGGGCACGCTTTCAACCCACCAAATGTTGCTAAGAAATTGATGAATAAACCGTAACGGTACTTCGCTGCAGTATTTTGACTGCTCGACCGTTTTTTTTTTTGTTCTTCAGGCGAGCAGTTGCTATTCCAACTTCTTTTTGGTCGGGTTATGAAACATCTGTTTCATCATAATCGGTTGTGGAATCTGGTTCGCCGTCGCCTAGTGTTTCATTTTCATTGTCATTCAGCTGGCTGGAGGAGTGTTCCTACCCTACATAAATTCAATCTACTGCTCTGGGCATCACCTACAGCTCTGGGTTCTACAAGAGTTTGCTTCGGTATTGAAACTTTCTGTAAGTCGCTGCAAATGTAGTTCCCATTAACTTTCCCAGACAAGTATGGGTATCGCAATCGGTTGTTTTGTATGAATTAAGATAAATCGCTTAAATAAAAAATTTAATTCTTATTTTTAACCACTTTTCCCCACCGTACATGGATGGAAAAAACAGAATTTATGCTTATCTCAATTTTCTCAGAAGTATTTAAGCGTTTTATTTAGTAAAAACATTTATGCCGATTTTATTGAAATAAAAAATATTCATATACATATGTACATATGTACAATAGTAGTAGATAAGAGTATGCATACATACATTCGTGCATACGTGTGTTTCTTATGCCAGTAGTTAATGCTCGTATTTACATATAATATTTAAGCGCTCATACTGAAAAATCCTTTGTACATACTCAACAACTAACTTCAAGTTTCTCTTTTTTATAATTTCAGATAAAAAGCCACGGGACGGCCGACGCTTTTGGAGAAGCAAATAACACATGAAGAGCAATACAACAATACTAAATGCGACAACAAAAGTGAAACAGTCGCTCATATGCATTGCAGCATGATATGCTTAATATATTTAATATCTTCCTTAAACAATATTGAAGCGATATAAATTCATATATACATACGCACATACACATTTGATTGGCTGGTCATCCGTATGGGCAAATGAAAATGAGCATATAAAAATTAGTGATAAAATATTGTAATTTTTTACTGCTCTTTCTTGTTGTTTACAAAAATTTGATTGAAAACAAATGCTAATAATATACATACATATGTATGTACATACATATATGTAACACACAATCCGACATATGAGTATGCTGTGAGCAGTCGTTGAAATGACTTTGTCACGTACAGAGCGGCGCGTTTAAAACACTCAACGGCACTCCAGAAAGCATAAAATTAATAATTATTTAAATTGTAGCTGTGTTTATAAAAAAGTGCAGATTATTTGATTATACATTTTCACAATTTCACTGCATAATAATTATAAAAAATTATAGTTTGCAAAAAAAAAAAAAAAAATTTGAAATAAAAAAAATTAAAATGGTTTAAAGAAATTGTTGTTGTTAAAAAAATTCAAATTTGTTCATAGAAAGTTTTAAAGAAATTAAATCTCAATTAAATTGCAGATCTCTCCTTCACAGTGTTTTAAATTGTGATTAAACAATATATTCATATATATATATATATATATATCAAATGTTTACATACTCGTATGTACGCTGTTGTGCTAATAAATACATAGAGTGAAGTGCATAAATGAAAAGCAAGAAAAAATCCAATTACTTGTATGCAAACAAGTTTTGATCTTACATAAATAATTAATGTTTAATTAATTCAACACACACGTCAATATCGAGATGAGTCTACCACAGACGACAATGACACAACTCGCCACGAGAAGAAGGCATGCTCATGGAGGGCTCAGTAAGAGCCAATTTATGCTCTTTATACTTTTAAACGTGTTATGGACAATAGAAGCTGGTGAGTGAATTTAAAAATTTTCATTAATAAAGAATGATATATATATATATATATGTATGTATAAATATTTCTCAAAAAATATGTAGCAATTAATCAATTGGCAAACTTTTTTTTCGATTATTCGTATAAATCGTATTTAAAAAGGATTTTGCGTTTTTGGTTTCAAAAGTAGCTGCATTTTGACCACTGTTAAATCAAACATGTTTTTTTTTTTTTGTTTTTTTTTTTTGTTTTTTTTTTGTATTTTGGGCAAATACATACTCTTATCTATTTATAAGGTAGCTTTTTTTTTAGAGGCACACCTAGTGTAATGGCCGTAAAAAAGGTGATTTTTGGGAATTTTTATTAATAAAAAATACTTTTTCAATTATTTCAAAATTTTAAGAATATATTTATATATGTTCCAATAATATGCAGTGAAATTTTTGAAGAAAAAATTAAATATTTTTTAAGTTGTAGTCGATCTCCAACAGCGATTGGCATTTTAATTGTGCGAAAAAAAAGGTCCTTCACTGCTGTAGTGATTCCGCCTTAACCGTGGATGAAATCTAAATGAAAAAAATCCTCTGTATGTATCTATTGTCTGTACAATGACCTACAATGACCTAAAATCAAAAGTTAATATGGCGGCGTTTAAAAAAAAAATAGTCGAATTTTACCCAAAATTTTGGTCGTTTTTGGCCTGCCAAAATTCGATTTTTTGATCAGATTAAAAATCGATAGGTCATTGTACGGAGAACTATATATAGAACATGTAAAAAAATTCGATAGTAATCGGATCATTTGTTTTCGAGTAATCACTGCAGTAAATTCGGAAAATGCTGTTTCAATGAAAACTCGTTTAAAGATGAAATGATCGTTTTCGCTCGCAGCTAATGAGACTCTCTGGCTGCCGAGCGGCTGCTCTTTAAATTGCTATAACTCGAAAACTATTTGAGATATCGATTTGAAATTTTAATGTGTTATTTTTAAAGGTGTAATCTATAAATGGAAGAAAAGATAGTTTTTTGTTTTGAAATTTCACACTAGGTGTGCCCCTTAGCCTTTCGGCCTTTAAATAAGAGCAAAAACCTTTGTTTTCCTTTTTTCCTCCTACGTAAAAATGTTTTGGTTTAGTTAAAAGTCGTTTATTTATGAAATTGGATCGCTTAAAACCTACTTCAAAGATAGTGATTCACGTTTCGTGCTTTAAGAGGAGATTATGGTGCACATAAACGTCGAACTACCCCATCAATCGATACAATTTAAAAAAAATTTGAAGCGACATCATCATCACTGTAAGTGAAAGTGTGCACCTGAACGTGCCATTATAGCCCTCCATGTAAAGTCCAACAACCATTCAGCCAGCCAGCTGACCATTCACAACACCGTACACACATCGGGAGATACGTAAATTCGGAAAATTGTTGCAACTGGAGCTGCGAGTTTCCTTAAATAATGGAAGAAACGTCATTAGATCCAAAAATGCATACTGTCTAGTACGTTCTTTGGTCTGAAGGTGTGTTTGCAATTGAAAAAGACGATATGGACTAATATGTGGTATGTGTGAGAGAAATTTGAAGCCGCTTAATCTATCGCCTTGGCGATGTCAATTAGTCACTGAGATCGTGCGACTTTTTTTTGAAGTTACGCGAAACCCGTATGCGGATATATCTTAACTATTCACATTCCTAGTTTTCTTTACCGGAAATGAATAGGTGTAACTTACTTGAAGTGCGCGCAAGTGACCAAAGTTTTTGACAGCCGTTTTCCAGGGAGTGGTCCGAAAGTATTGTTTTACAGTAGCTTCCGGTTTTATACCAAGTATCATCTCGATCTTGAAGAATCATACAAATATGCCTTCGATAGAGAACTACTGTTTGGTAAATATTACTTGGGAAGATGATTCTGACCTGGTGGTTAATGTCTTTATAATACTAAAGACTGACATTACCGCCGTCCTGTGGGCAAAAAACACAGCAATCATATAAGAAAGAGTAAATTTGATATTTATTGCAGAAAAGAAACGCACCAACCAGTCTGCTGCAAGGAACGCACGTAAACTAAATCTAAAAGGTTTTGCCGTAGGAAAGTTTGCAATCACAACAGACTTTCGAATGTTTTTTGCCAGACTTACATCCGTACTTTCAGAAAGCACTCATCAGCAAGTCAATATGAAGAAACTGTGGGACGGTATTTCAAGATACCAAGTACAACAACTATTACTACTACTACTGCAACTGGTACGGTGAGGGAGAGAAACGAACTGGCTGGCCTGAGCAATGCTGAGATCGATCACAACACATGCGATAAAGGGAAAGAAGCGAGTTAAGGCGAGACGCATATGCAGATGAAAAAAGAAAAATACCGAAAGTGTGAGTATAAAGAACATAGCAGGAGTTATGCTCGAAAATTCTACGAAAAGATGCGGCAACAAAAGATTTCATGATCGGAGCATACTCACTTCGGACCCAAATAAGTGATGTAGTGAATGATGCCCAGAGTATACTGAGTTTATGGAGAAAACACCTCTCCATCCTGCTGAATGCCAATGAAAATGAAACACAAGAAAATGGCGAATGGTAATGGAGTTCCAAAGCATGCTCGACGATTGGAACCTCAGTGTGATCTGCCTTTAAAAGGAAGGACACTCACAGTATGCAAAAATTACCCTGAAATAAGACTAATTAAGCGAATTAAGCGTATAACAGACTACATAAAACATCCACGAAGTGATTACGCGTTGTCGTCGTGGTTTCAGACCTGGTACATCTATTATAGACTAGATATTCAACATGGGCCACAGAATTGTATAAAAAGGATCAATACATACCAGCCTTTGATAGCACGACTTTGGTATACATTTGCTTATTGCTGGTATAAACTGATGCTGACCAACACCAAAAACATTATCAGGCTGGGGAAATACCTTCCCGAGGCGTTCGATACCAATACCAGGTGTCAGGCACGACGACTCTATATCGTGTGACTTCTAATAAGATAATGTTGGAGAGCATAATATTATATAAGCTACAGGGTTAAGCAGAGATGATACGAATTTGCTTTAAAAACGTTTAACTGCTGGCGTATTGATATGGACATCATCATGTCATTCAGCTAATGCGGCCGCCAGAGATGTTAAGTTCTATCTATTCTATTGTTCTTTTCTAAATGAACTGCCTTCATGATGGCCCACAATGAATGAATGAAAATCAAAGTTTTGTTATTATTTATTTTGCTTTGATGGCCTAGTCTTCCTAGCAATTGCCTATCATAGCTCAAATATGGCGCCGAGCACCGTTCACAAAGTCATTTAACACCAATTAATTTATGTTATTGTTGAACGAAATAATGTTGTGATTTACTTCATATGCATTTTTATGCATAAAATACACGTACATACATACATATTTACACTTACATATTGAGATCAATTGAGTAGGAAAATTAAGCAATACTTACATACATATATATTGTACAATACAAAACAGTAGCTTTAATAATATATTGTCAGTACTTTATGGGAAAGTTGAAGTTTACACATACACACTTATACATATATACAAGTAGACGCATTTAAATAATCATCTCGTAAAAAAAATAAAATAAACATCTTCTTTTAACACTTGAGCACTCAGTTCAGTGAGACCACCGCACGCGATTGCCTGCCATGAAAGTCTATCAAATTTATGACAGCATTTAAAAGTGCATATATTTGTGATATGCAAACGTATTTATATATACGAGGGGCGACTGATAGATTTGTGACCTAAAGTACTTTTTTTCCTGTAAATTTCTAGAAAATAACTTTTAGAAATGATATAGAATTAATCCCGAAGGTCCGCAAAACTAAGAAGTATGTATAGAAGAGGGGAGAGCGGAGCGCGCCAAGCGGTAAATCCGCTCGAGTACATTAATCGCCTTTTTCTTGAAACCACTTTTTTCAACTGGGCGACACTTATCAATATGAATTAAATGGCACTCTTAAAATGTCTCTCTGGTCGGTACTACAAGCAAAAATATTCTCAAAAATTTTTTAAATATATTAGAAATTAATTAATTAAAAATAAATTCAAAAGTCCGATGTTCTTTTTGTTTTTAATGTTTCATTGTAGTTCGGGCCATAGCTAATGTGATATAGAATAAGAAACCGTTTCGATTGTGGCTTTCAGATGATTCGTTTTACAGTTATCGTGTCAGCCATCAACAAAAGGAACGTGTTTCAGCAGCAATTTTAAGAGCTGCCATTAACAAAAAAAATTCAATTAATATCTTTATACGTCTTCTTATCAACAAAACTTCGATTTATAAATATTTTTTTAAAATAAATAAAATTTGTTTGAAAAAACACGTTTTTCAAAGGAATCTGGCCTCAATGAAACAAATGTATAGTTTTAAGTTTTTTATCTGTCAATCTAGCCTCCCACTTCCCACTCTCAAATATATTCTTAAGATTTCTATTCAAAATGTCTTCAAATGTCGCTTTCATCTCATTGTCGCCTGAAAGTTATCGTCCCCGCAACTTCCTTTTTAAATTTGAAAAAAAGGAATAGTCAATGGAAACTAGGTTCGGATGGTCGATGATCTGTAAATCCAGCAGCTTTCAAGCATCCCTTGCAGCTCAGCGGTGTGAACGCGTGCTTTCTTTTGAAGCAACAGCACTCCTCGGGCTAACCTGCGCAACAAATTAGTTTAATACTGGCCGTTTTTTGTAGTTTTCTTTGACAAGTTAATCAGCTAATAATATTTCCTTGCTAACCCACTTTCGACGCCAATTTTTCCACTTTGAATTTTTTCGGTGGCCTTTCCCCGCATTTTTATTCACTGCATCGACTCCTATTTGGACCCGGAATCATGCTAAAGCATCCAAGTTTTATCAACTCTGACAATGCGGTTGCCAATTTCATCCGAATCTTCTTGACTCAACTCCAAAAAATCTTTACAGCTCTTCAGACGTCGTTGCTTGTCGAGGGAGGTGAGCATTCACGGTACACGCACTAATCTTTTCCGTATCCAAATTC